GGGGGGCGAAGCCAGAGGAGAGGTGCGTTGGTAAGCGCCGAGACGCCGTCCCGGGGCCGCAAGCGGGAGGGCTTGCGGTGAGGGCACGCCCCCCCCCCCCCCCGGCGCGTGGGGGGCGCGGCATGTTGACGCGCCGGACCTGGGAGGCCCAGCCAACGCGCCGGGCATGGTGGGGGCGGCCGCGGGCCAACTGGGCCCGGGGCCCGCGGACTGGCAGGCGGGCCCGACGTGCGCCGCCCCTCCGGCCCGCCGCCCTTTCCCCCGGGGGCCGCACACGCGGATCCTCGTAGTTGCGACGCGCGCGCGGCCCGGACCGCGGAAGGGGCAGGGGCGGGCGTGCATCGGGGGGGGGGGGCGGGGGGAATGGGGGAAGGCGGCCGGCGCACGGACACGCGCGTGAGGGCGTGCCCGTCCAAACGAGCCGCCCGGGCCGGCCCCTCCGGCGCCCCTCCCCCTGAAGGGTGCCTGGTGCTGGTCGCGCCGTGGCAACACGGTGTGCGTGTGTGGGCGCCACACGCCGCGCCGGAGGGCCGGCCCGTGCGCGGACGGCAAGCGGGCGTTTCAGCCTGCGCGAGGGGGTGCGGCGTTCCCACACGGCCGTGCGACAGCGGCGTGGTGTTTGTGCGGCTGCACCTGCCGCTCGCGCCGGGGTTGGGTGGACGATTTGTTCTCGGGTCGGCCCATTGTCCCTGCATCGAGAGTAACCGCCGCTGGTGCTGCCGGCGGGGGCCGCCCCCCCGAGAGGCAAGGGCTGTGGGCAGGGCAGAGGGACCACCGGGGGCGAGGGCGCAGAGAGAGAGAGAGAGAGGGAGAGGGCGAAAGCGCGGTGGATGTCCAGGGGGGGGGGGGGGCTGGACAGGGGCGACCGGGCGCCTGTCGCCGGCGCCGGCGCCTCCCACCCGAGGGAGGCGCAGGCCGCGGGGGCCTCGCCCATGCTCTCGGCGACGCGTCGCACGCCCGCCCGGCGTGGCCCGGTGCATGGGACTGGCACGGCCGTGGCGGTAATTTGGGCAGCGAACAGCGGGCCGCGGCCGCGCCGGGCTGGGCATTCGCGCCGAGGACGCACCGAGCCACGCTCCATCCCGGCCCCCGCCCGGGCGCCTGCGCGGCTGCGGCGGCCAACAATAACCACAGATATCATGCCGGCACATGCGTGGGGGGGGGGGGGGGGGCCGAGTCCGCGGGCCACACGCCCCCCCTCCCCCCGAGTCGAAGCGGCTAACTGGGCCTGGGGCCGCGTTGGTGGCATTCGGAGTAGCCCGGCACAATGGGGGGGGAGGCTTCATGCGGGGCGCCGTTTCGGGTTGCCGCCGGCCGGGCCCGGGCCCGGGTGTCATGCAGCTTGCCGGGTGCCTGCCGGCCTCCGCCCCAGGCGAAGTGCCGTGCGCGAGCCGACCGTCCTTGGATATCGCCTCGCCGTGCCGGCGCTCGCGCAGCGCCCCCCCCCCCGCGCCGCTCCCCCATGGGGGCGGGAGTTGCGCGGCATGCTGACGCCGCTCCCGGGGCGAGGGCGCCCATCCGGGCCAACTCTCCCCCGGGCGCCGGGCCTCCGCCCCCCCCCCGGCGAGAAGGGCCGCGGGACCTGCGGCGCGAGTGGCAGCGGCCCGGCGGGCCTCGCCGACTTCCCCCGGGCGCGGACCAGGCAACCGCGACGGCTGGCCGGCGCCCGTCCTCCGCAGCGCGCCTGGGCGGCTCTTCTGCCAGGCCCCCCCCCCCCCCCCGGCCCTGGTCGGCTCCATCGCCCGGGCAACGCCACGCCGAGCACGGGGGGCCGGGCAGAAGCGGCCCTCCCCGCGGATGCCCGCGCCGGCCCGGACTGCCTGGTGACCAGCATGGCCTCCAGCCGGGCCCGTACGCAAGAATGCTCCCCCCCCCCTTCCCCCCCGCGCGCGCCGGCCCGGCCGCCCGCCCCGGTGCCAGGCCCTCGGGCGCGTGAACCGCACGAACATGCCTTCCTGGCAGGTAATATGCGCGAATGCCGGCGCTCCGCTATACCCGGGAACCGGGAGCCCGGCGGCGCGGGCGGCACATCCCGCGAGCCGGGGCCGGGACCCGGCGCGCGCGCGTGGGATGGCCTTTCCATGTACCGCCGGCCGGCTCACGCGTGCCCCGGCGCGAATGCGCGCGTGTCGGGTAGACCATGGCTGCCGGCGCCCCCGCCCCCCTTGAGCGCCCTCGCCCAGAAGGGCCGGGAATCCATGCGCAAGCGCACAGGCGGATGCCCGCTCCTGGGAATCAGTTATTCGCGCGTGTAACGGCCGCACCCCCTGTGACAGGCGCGCATCGCCCCCCTCGGACACGGGCCGCCCGTCCTGCCGTCGCCGCCGCCGCCGCCGCCGCCGCCGCCGCCGCCGCCGCCGAGCTCCCATGCGCCGCCTGGGTGGGGGGGGGGGTCCACGCCGGGGGCCTCTGCCGCGGGCCGGCCATCGCTCGCGCCCCTCTCCCCGCGTCGCCGCCGCAGCGTGTATTGTCCCTCGGAGGGGGCCGGCGCACGGCGTGATGGACCCCGCGCTCGGGCCGGCACGCCCCCGGGCCCGGCGGCAAGGGGCGTCTGCTCGCCCGGCCCCCCCCGCCCCCTCCCCGGGCCACGCCCACTCGGCCGGGTGCGCCGCCCATCTGTCCTGCGCCTGGGCGCCCCGCCGGCCGGCCCCCCGTGCTCCGGTAATCAAGATCCATTGCTGACTGTTGGGGCCCGGGGAAACACCCATGGTTGGTGGGTGTTTACACGCGAACTTCCCCCGCCCCCCCCCCCCCCCGATGGGCGAGCAGGTGCCCCCTCCCCGCTCCCCTGAGCGTGCGAGGACTGAGCCTCCCTCGCCCCCCCCCCCCACCCCACCCCCGGGTGGGCGGGAGAGAGAGAGGGCGAGAGTGAGGGCGCGAGCCGGGACCACCCTGGGGGCGCGGGGCCCCGCGCACGTCGCCGCCTGATCGAACAGCCCCGCCGCCGCCCGGCACCACGCTCGGCCTATGCGCACTCCCACCGCGGGCTAGATCTCCCACCGCGCGGCGCCCGACCGACCGACCGACCGACACACCGACCGACACACCGACCGACACACCGACCGACACACCGACCGACACACCGACAGACACACCGACAGACACACCGCCTCGCGGGAGGCCCATCGTGTGCATGCTGGTTGTCCCCGACAGCCCGCTCGCCCCCCCCCCCCCCCCCCCC